CGTATCAGCATGGTCCTCTTGACCCCCGTCTTGTAAGCGACTCCCAACGATTCATCCATGAGACGATCTAATGTGTTGGCCGACAGGGTACCTCAAGCAAGACAGGCAAGTGTTCAACATGTGAGGAATCGCTGCAAAACTGCACAGGCCATTTCGGTCATGTCAGACTTCCTCTACCGGCCTTTCACATTGGCTACCTGCGCTTCGTCATGATGATATTGCAGGACATCTGCAAGGTGAGCATTCCCAGTTTCCCTCGTAATGACTGCCGCTGACAGTATCCAGGACTGCGGCAAAGTCCTACTCACAGAGAGCGAGAAGAGATCGTTCCTCAAGGAGTTGAGGCGACCCTTGCTCGACAATCTGCGACGGACGCAGATTTGCAAACGAATCAACGAGCAATGCAGAAAGGTCAAGAACTGCATGTACTGCGGTTCCGTCCAAGGCCAGATTAGGAAAGTTGGTGTTCTCAAGCTCGCCCACGACAAGTTCGTCACATACAACAAATCCACTTCGGCCAAGAAGATCCCTCCCGAGAGCAAGATCAAGTTCGACGAGTCCTTCGCCGAGGCCAGAAAGAACAATGGCGAGCTGGACAAGCACTTGCGCAAGGCCATGGAGGATATGAATCCTCTGAGGGTTCTCAACCTTTTCAAAATGATCAGCCCCACCGACTGCGAGCTTCTTGGCCTGGACCCCGCCGAGGGCCGTCCTGAAATGTTTATCTGGCAGTTCCTTCCTGCGCCTCCTGTGTGCATTCGACCATCAGTAGCCCAGGACAACGCGAGTAACGAGGACGATATCACAACAAAGCTGGCAGACATTGTCTGGGTTAGTGGCATGATTCGCTCGGCACTACAAAAGGGCTCGCCAGTTCAGACCATTATGGAACAGTGGGAGTATCTCCAGCTCCAGGTTGCCATGTACGTCAACAGTGACGTGCCAGGTCTGCAACAGCCGGGATTTGGCAAAGCCGTGAGAGGTTTCTGCCAGCGGTTAAAGGGAAAGCAGGGTCGATTCCGTGGCAATTTGTCCGGAAAGCGTGTCGACTTCTCCGGACGAACCGTCATTTCTCCCGATCCCAACCTTGGCATCGACCAGGTTGCTGTTCCCCAGCTCGTCGCCAAGAACTTGACCTACCCGGAGCGAGTGTCAGACTACAACATTAAGAAGTTGAAGGAGTGCGTTCGCAACGGCCCCAGCATCTGGCCTGGCGCTCAGCAGGTCATCAAGAACGATGAGGGAGGCTACAAAATCTCCTTGAAGTTTGGTAACCGAAACCAGGTCGCCCAGGATCTCAAAATCGGCGATGTCGTCGAACGCCACCTGGAAGACAACGACATTGTTCTTTTTAACCGTCAACCGTCTCTGCACAAGCTCAGTATCATGAGTCATTTGGTGAAAGTGCGACCGTGGAGGACGTTCCGCCTCAACGAGTGTGTATGCGGCCCCTACAACGCCGATTTTGATGGTGACGAGATGAATCTTCACGTACCGCAGACAGAGGAAGCTCGCGCCGAGGCCATCAACCTCATGGGTGTGAAACACAACCTGGCGACGCCCAAGAACGGAGAGCCCGTCATTGCGGCTACGCAAGATTTCATTACCGCCGCTTATCTTCTGAGCAGCAAGGACAACTTCTTCGACCGCAAGACGTTCACGTACATCTGCATGCACATGATGGACGGCAAGGTCCACCTCGACTTGCCCCCTCCTGCCATTCTAAAGCCCAAGGCTTTGTGGACCGGCAAGCAGGTCTTCAGCATGATGATGCGACCCAACAAAGACAGTCCTGTCAAGATTAACCTTGACGCCAAGTGCAGAGAATACAAGGCGAGAGCCGGACAGTGCCCTGACATGGATCCCAATGACGGATGGTTGGTGATTCGCAACTCCGAAGTCATGTGCGGTGTCATGGACAAGTCGACGGTCGGATCAGGAAAGAAAGATTCAGTGTTTTATGTTATCCTGAGAGATTTTGGTCCTGATGCGGCCGTGGTTACGATGAACCGACTTGCCAAGTTGTGCGCAAGACATCTCACAAATCGAGGCTTCTCCATCGGTATTGGTGATGTCTTCCCCACCGAGAAACTGCTCGAGAGGAAGAGCACGCTTGTCAAGGGTGCAAGCATAGAGGTCGATGTCCTCATTGACAAGTACAAGAAGAACAAGCTCGATAAGGCGACGGGTTGCAGCATGGAGGAGACGCTAGAGAACTCCATTTCGGGTCTTCTCAGTAAGGTCAGAACGCAGGCTGGTTCTCACTGTATCGAGACTCTCAGCAAGAACAACGCCCCGCTGGTCATGGCCAAGTCTGGATCCAAGGGTTCAGAAATTAACGTGGCCCAGATGGTTGCCCTAGTCGGACAGCAGATTATTGGTGGCAAGCGTGTTGCCGATGGTTTCCAGGACAGAACGCTTCCTCACTTCCACAAGAACGCGCCTCAGCCGCCGTCCAAGGGATTCGTCGAGAACAGTTTCTACTCTGGGCTTCTGCCCACCGAATTCATCTTCCACGCCATGTCTGGCCGTGAAGGTCTGGTCGATACCGCTGTCAAGACGGCCGAGACCGGTTACATGTCACGCAGACTGATGAAGTCTCTGGAAGATTTGTCAACGCAGTACGACGACACTGTGCGGACATCTGGCGGCGGTATCGTTCAGTTCCAGTTCGGTGCCGACAAACTGGACCCCGTCGACATGGAGGCCACTGCGAAGCCTGTCAACTTTGACCGAACCTTCTCTCACGCTGAGAACCTTACCTGGGACAATGACGAGACTGCCTTGCTGCCCAACGAGATGGTCAAACTCTGCGACAACTTGCTTGCTCGAGAACGCGCGCGCTATCCCAGAAAGTCGCTGTTGGGTGATCTGACTCTTGATTACGACAACGAGGAAGAAAAGTACACAGACGAGCACGAAGGCGCCAGAGACTTCTTGCGATCACTAGAGTCTTACATTGCCGGACGTGCCAACAAGCTTGCTCGTGTGATGGAGCTTACCGGCCTGACAGCCAACGCTGACAGCATGGACGTTGACATTGATGAGGATGAGGTCAAGGCCAAGAAGGCTTTTGCCGACAAGGTCGCCAAGATGTCCGAGACGACATTGCGACTCTTTATCAAACTGTGTTTGGAAAAGTACAAAAAGGCGCACGTCGAGCCCGGACATGCCGTCGGAGCTGTTGGTGCGCAGTCTATTGGTGAGCCCGGTACGCAGATGACCCTGAAGACTTTCCATTTTGCTGGTGTCGCCGGTATGAGTATCACCCAGGGTGTACCCCGTATCAAGGAAATTATCAACGCCTCCAAGACTATCAGTACCCCCGTCATCACCTGCCCGTTGATGCAGAACAGGGAGATGACAGCCGCGAAGATTGTCAAGGCGCGTATCGAAAAGACGTATGTTGAGGACATCCTGAGCTACATTGAGGACGAATGGTTCGCCGAGTCGGGAAGTGTCGTTCTCAAGGTCGACATGGATGCTTTGTCCGACATGCAACTAGGCATTACCCTGGGCGATGTGGCCGAGGCTATTTGCAAGCACAAGAAGATGAAGGTGTCGAGGTCCGATATGCACATTGGCGCCGGGAGAATCGAGATCCGCGTTCGCCTCGACGAGTCGGCGGCTTCCAAGCGGTCTGTCAAGGCCAAGCCCGTGGATGAGCTTGGCGATCTCTTGGTGCGAGCCAACTACCTCCGCCGAACGATCCCGACCGTGGCCATCTCTGGTTACCCCGAGGCCACTCGTGCCATCATCCAATCGTCCGAGGACGAAACTCACACGGTTCTGGTCGAAGGTTATGGGCTTCTCGCTTGCATGAACACAGAGGGTGTCGAGGGACGAAAGGTCAAGTCCAACAACATTATGGAGTGCAGAGACGTCTTGGGTATCGAGGCCGCAAGAAGCACAATTGCCTTTGAAATTGGCGAGGTCATGGGTGACATGGGTATCGATCCGCGTCACATGCAGCTGCTTGCTGATGTCATGACCTACAAGGGCGAGGTCCTCGGTATCACACGATTCGGACTGTCCAAGATGAGAGACAGTGTTCTCCAGCTGGCCTCGTTCGAGAAGACGCCAGACCATTTGTTCGAGGCGGCTGCCGGTATGAAGACGGATCAGATTGAGGGCGTGAGTGAGTGTATCATCATGGGCCAGACCATGAGTGTAGGAACCGGCGCGTTCCACGTAGTGCGCCGCCTCGCCATGGAGAGGGGAGATGTTGGGCAGCGCAAGACTATCTTTGAGGATGCATGGGCTGCGCAGACGGCGCTCAAGCGCAAGTCTAGGCGGACTGTTTAAAAAAGGGGATTACGGAGTTTTCAGAGTATTCATGTGGAGAGGCATGGCATTCATTCAACCAGGGATTGTACATTTCTGTATACGGTTTCACAGAGTAGTACTCGCTGTCTTCAGACAGAGTCTAGTATCAGACGGAACGAAGACATGAAAGATCAAGGCCTATGGCCTATGCAGTGACGTTAATACGCTGTTCAGAGATGTGTTAGAGCAATCTGCTCTCATCGGTCCTCCTAGATCTAGGTATTCAATAACACCGAATGAAGCGGATAATAACGACGGTTAAAGGCCGCCATGTAGTCCACACCACCGGGCCGATGCCGGACGCCGTGGAGTTTTGTTTATCCCCAGAGCCATCAGCAACGTCACATTTGGCTCCAAACCTTGCGCCTCCGCCGCCTCGGACTTGGTTTTCATTTGTTTCCCCCCCTCTGAGATGTTCATCTGACGAGACTGATATAAGATTAGCGCAACGAGATTGCGGGGTGCAATTGACAGACTCTCCACCAACGCGGGGATGATGGAGGTGAATTGCGGAGCCGGCGGGGTGGAATCCTGAACGAATGCAACGGTTCAGATTGCACTCTCGACCATTGCCTCTGTATAAATAGGCCGGCCATGAAAGAAGGTGCGCAGTGCCAGAGTGTCGGGACGGCTTTGAACTTGGCATGATCTTTCTGGGCCTCTTATTCGTCACCATGCCGTCTGCTCCGCGTGTGTTGAGCCTGCTTTTGTGGGCGGCGGGTTGTGCCTCACAAGTCTCCGCGCAAAAGACCCCAAGCCAGTGTTCACTCGAGAGCGTGAGCGCCCTCCTTACACCAGAAAACCAAGCCGAGGTCTTGACGACTTTACAATTAGGTGACAATGGCACCTTTGGGGAGGCGGGCAACATCGCCTACCCCCAAAACGCGACGCACCTTCCGCCCCTCTGCGTCGTCTCTATCAACGTCACGTCCTCGCCGACATCGTCCTACACATTTGGTCTATTCCTACCAGATGAGTGGAATGATAGGTTCCTCGCGGTCGGTAACGGGGGGTTCTCGGGGGGTATCAACTGGTACGCCATGGGCACCGGCGTCAAATACGGCTTCGCGACAATGTCGACTTCCACAGGCCACAACTCGTCGAACCAGGACATGGGCTGGGCGCTCAACAACCCCGAGACAAAGGCCGACTGGGCAGGGCGCAGTCTCCATGGTTCGACCGTCGTCGCGAAGCAGATTGTTGAGGGATACTACGGCGCCGCGGCCAACAGGTCGTATTATTCCGGTTGCTCCACAGGTGGCCGGCAGGGCGTGAAGTCGGCGCAGGACCACCCAGAGGACTTTGACGGGATCCTTGCCGGCGCGCCGGCGTGGATGTCTACGAGCCAGCAGCTGTGGCAGCTCAAAGTCGGGGCTGTGAATCTGCCCGAGGACGGGCCCGGGTACCTCCCGCCCGCCGTGTTTGACGCCATCAGCGACGAGGTTCTGCGGCAGTGCGACGGGTCTGACGGTGTCGTCGACGGCGTAGTGATGAACCCTACGCACTGCAACTTCCGGCCTGAGAAGATGCTCTGCAACACCGGCGCGAGCTCGAACCGCAGCACTACGTGTCTGACGGCGCCGCAGATCGCGACACTGAAGCAGCTGTACCGCCCGCTCATCCAGCTCGACGCCGACGTTCACAATTTGACGTACGTCTACCCCAGCTTTGGCCTCGGCTCCGAGAAGCAGATGCCGTCGTCGTTCGGATCGAACAACGAGCCCAGCCTCTACGGGACAGAGTACGCCAAGAATTACCTCTTTGAAGACCCGTCGTGGGACTGGACGACGCAGTTCGGCTACTCTACTTTCGTCGAGGCCGCGCGGCTGAACCCGGGCAACGTGAACGCGGACAATTTTGATCTCTCTTCGTTCTATGAGAGAGGCGGGAAACTGGTGCAGTACCACGGCTATGCGGACGGTTTGATCCCGACGGACGTGAGCCGCGTGTTATACGACGAGACGTGGGCGGCCATGGCGGCGCGGGGGGTCGACCTGGACGAGTTTTGGAGGCTGTTCTTTGTGCCTGGGATGCAGCACTGTTCGGGCGGGGTGTACGATGCGCCGTGGTACTTTGGTGGCAGCGGGCACGCTGCGGCGCTGGAGGGGAACGGGCAGCATGTGTTCCCTGTGCCTGGCGTGGATGATGCGAGGTACGATGTGTTGCTTGCGCTTGTTGAGTGGGTCGAGGGTGGCGGAGAGGGCGTGAGGGAGATTATTGCGACCAAGTTTGCTAATGATACTGTTGACAAGGGGGTATTGAGGCAGAGGCCGATTTGTAGTTACCCTGAGTATGCTTCGTGGGATGGCAGAGGGGATGTTGACGCTGCTTCTAGTTGGAGTTGTGTTGACCTGTGAGGGTTAAGACCACGAGCGTAGAGATTACATCAATTGCATTATGTTTTTCTCTCAAAGTAAGAGAATCAAGCTTCGAAAGACTGAAGCAAGATGAGGTATCTCGTGATATCTTGAGATGTGGTTTATGGAGGAAGATGGTCACGTGCCGGCGTGCATCTAGCGCGTAGATTAGTCACGTCTGTCGCAGTGTCCCGCGTCTCGACGACGTCATCAATGCATATGAGCTCTTGGCCCTTAAACCATCCATCGCATCTCGGCGCAAGTCTTCGTAGAAGACAAAGTTTCATTGTGGATCACTGGGTCATTGGGGAATATGTGTGGAAGATACGCTTTAGCTCTGGTGAGTCTCGGAGACATGACCAAGCTCCAAGCCCAATACTAACACCTGGGCAGCGGCCGTCGCAAATCCGACGGATGCTGGAGGACGATGACATGTCAGTGGATGACGTGCCAGAAGACGAGGGTCAAGGGTCTCCTCGCCAGACATACAACTTCGCGCCAGGCTATCACGGCGTCGTCTATCGCGCCGATGTCCCGGACCGTGGCGCGGGCCATGGCCGTCATCAAGGGAACAGCCAACAGGATGGTGCCGCCTCAAGCCAGTCTCAAAGCAACGATGGCAGCGACAGCTCGGTCAAGTACAAGTTGCAGTCGATGCAGTGGGGTTTGATTCCATTTTGGACGAAGCGCGATCCCGGCTACGCCACGCTCTCCAAGACGATCAACTGCCGCGACGACTCTCTGAGCACGCCTGGCGGTATGTGGTCGACCATGAAGGCGGGGAAACGGTGTATCGTCGTCGCTCAGGGGTTCTATGAGTGGTTGAAGAATGGAAAGGAGAAGACGCCCCATTTTGTCAAGAGGAAGGACGGGCAGCTCATGTGTTTTGCTGGGCTGTGGGATTGTGCACAGTATGAAGGTGAGCATCCCCAATCCTCAATCGTTTCGAGCGGGTCTAACTTTGAGATAGATGCCCAAGAGAAGCGATATACCTACACCATCATCACGACAGACTCCAACAAGCAGCTCAAGTTCCTCCACGACAGGATGCCAGTCATCCTCGACCCGGGCTCCAAAGAGCTCAAGACGTGGCTGGACCCGAAGCGGCACGAATGGTCCAAGGAGCTGCAGGACCTCTTGAAGCCATTCGACGGCGAGCTCGAATGCTACGCCGTCACCAAAGAGGTCGGCAAGGTTGGCAACAACTCACCCTCATTCATCATCCCCGTCGCGAGTAAGGAGAACAAACACAACATTGCAAACTTTTTCGCCAATGCTTCTGCCAAGCAAAAGCCCAAGGAGGCCACGAAGCTCGAGCCTACTATCGAGACAAAAGAAGAGCTCAAGGAGTCACAAGTTGGACAGAGCCAGCCGGTGCCGGAAGTCATCGCCAAGGCGGCTGATAAGGAGGGCAGCCAGCAGGAAGCGGGGGTCAAGCGGGAGGCACCTGACGCTGGTGAAGATGCAGAAGAGGAGCCGCCTAGGAAGACTTCGAGGGTTTCGCCTGTGAAGGGACGGCAGAGCAGGATCAACCCAACGAGTAATGGGAGTAAGAGTCCTGTGAAGTCGAAACAGGGCGGCACACAGAAGATCACAAAGTTCTTTGCCAACAGCTCTTGATTTATCTAATGGCGTACGAGGGATGGGGGATGGGTCAAAAACGGCTGGCTCGGGGCAAAACAGGCGTGGATGACTGATGATTTGACAATGTTGGTTTTCGGAACGGCTTGAGTGGGGCTCTTCTCTTCCGATCATTCAATGGGATCCGCGGTGTCGTTTAGCGATGGAGTAAAGAGTCACTGGCAATATCTGCTCGTCCTGTTGGGTACGACGTGTATTATACAACAAAACGTGCCCTTGTCGTAACAGATCGAGTATTCCACTCGCATTTTTACATATTGTAAAGACAAAAATTCTTGTCCAAAGAAACAATCACATCTTCCTTGACGAAAGGGAACCTACAAAAAGCGTCCATAGGTAGGCTCGAACCCCCATGGCATGACCAACATCTCTCGTATCCCCCTTCCCACGAGCATCTTCACAACGCCTACGCAAATAGGGAAATTACCTTGAACAAACCATCCAGCAAAACGAAAGCAACTCCTCATCAAATAGAAAAAGGTGCCAAATGGCAAAATGGCAAATTATATGATTGTATGTTCACTCATCGGCTGTAACAAGGGACTACGGTCGGGCAGGCCAGTCTTTTAGATGTGAACTCCGTAAGCGCTGTTGTACACGTTAACCCACTGGGCCAACGTGTACGCCATTGCTTACCCCGACGGAATATTCTGTGGTCTGCTCAGCTATAGAGTATGGCACAAGCTGTTCTGAGTTTGGGTCCCTTGTTGGCTGCGAGGACTGGGAGAGCTTGATGGCTTTGGTCAGGGACTTGGGTGGAGTAGAAACATCTTCAACCTTGACGGGTTACTTCAGGTGCTCATCGGCACGGAGAAACGGGGCTTAGACAACAATAGTTTACCAATGCTTATCTGTGTCGTTCACATCTTACCTTCATGGCCAGGAGTAACAGGCTCTGTGTCGGCATGTTTTGTTGCCATCGACTTACGGTCTAGAGAACATTGTACGGGACCTGACCTCAACACTATGAAAGCGGAGTTGTGATGGCCCTCTCACGAAATCTTAAAATAGGTTCCTATCAACTCTTGATCTTCGTCAGGTGAAACAAGTACAACCACGAACAATCGGGATACCCCAGAAAATCGCTAGGTCAGGGACTAGAGCCGACGATCTGGGCTAGACGATCGTAGTCCAGACCTCTTCCAGACATGTGTGGCGTACGGAGGCTATGAGGCGGCAGATGACGACGCCCTTCTTGAGACGGCAGCGCGGCGTGAGTCTTCACTCGTATCTGGGACAGCGGCCGTAGGTGGGATACAGCTGATGACGAACACCTAGGCAACAACCAGAAGCAAAATGGTTTTCAAAGCAGAAAGCTAGGATGGAGAATAATAACTTATTCAGTAGAGACGCACTAGCTGTCTGAGTCTGACTCTGCAATATTAGGCTGCAGCATAACGATCTCGGTATGCCTGCCCTTTACCCGACGGTGACTCGACGTCGTTGGCCGAAAAGGGTACCATACCCAGCACCCGCGGAAACGAGAGGTCCAGACGCACTTTGTTGGTTCGAGCTTCCTCGTATTGAAAGTTCACTTCAGCCTCTCGACTTGGGACGAAAAATGACTTCAAACGGGCCAACGAGATTAGGTACACCGGGGGTTGCGCAAACCCCAGAATTCGGGGTTCAAGAAACGTTCAAACCGCTCGACGTGTGTGGCTTGGCCTGCGCCTCGGGGAGAATCTCGCGTCGCGAAAAGGGTGGTAGGGATGGGGAGAGAGGCACTTGCGGTGTGGCGGGTTCGGGACTTGAGGGGGGCATATGCTGGCTTTGTCTGCTTGCTATGAGCAGTACCTCCCCGCCGAGAGAAGGGTAGCCTGAAAGTCACACTTTTGGTCTGATGTTTCTGACAGCGCCCGAAAAGTCAAATGCCATCTGCAAAGAAGGACTTCCTCGCTTCGCCCTCGCGTCACCCAGTCGTATTCTGTGGTGTATCTTTGAATACATATGTATGCGTGGATCAGAGTCAGTTGTAGGCAGGATATCTTCGATGGATGTGCAAGGGCTCCCGGTGCGGGACTCCGCCTTGCCTCCGCTTCGCCGGGACGGTGCCGATGAGAATGTGGGTCGCGAATCGGCCTTGTCCCGCTCTTTTTATCGGCCATTCCGCCGGCGCAGTGTGAGAATTGGCAATGGCGGGGAAACTCCCTCCCTCTCCATTCAGCCTGCATGGTAATGATGAGAGTCGATATCGGCACAGTTGACATGGTCCAGGACCTTCACGTCCCATCAGCCGAATAGGCGCTACTGCGGCGCACTTGCGCCCCTGTGCTGTGCCGGATTCCTGATGTGGTGGTGTCCTAGCCATGCAATGGCTCCAGTAAGCCGCCCCCGGTTCCAACGGCTCAGGATAGAGTTTCTGTCCTGCTTCGCTGGGCGGGTAAGTCGGAATTAAGACACGTCAATTTTCGGGGACCAACCATAGAGTATGGAATCTGTGTCTACGGTAAGATATTCATAGCTGGACCGACTAGAAACTTGACGGCGGGACCCGTGCTCCCAAACGGCGACCGAGCGGGGAGGGAAGGATTTCCTGGGTTCGACGACGTCAGCAACTAAGGGTAGTGTGCTTCGTTCACTAAAGCTCTCCGAGGATCGGTGCCGAACGAGCTCACGCCTAGTGTCTTTCACATGTTGTATCGTTCTATGGGGATGTTAGACATACAAGCGATGTGTAATCCCGAGATAGATGCGACCGTAGTCAGCAAGGCCGTCAGAAGTGATGTAAAGATTCCAACAATAGTGATCAACAAAACTGAGATGCAGTTTACCGCATGCAGCATATCGCCAATTCGACCCACACTGACCATCACGAGTTCACGTCGTGATTAGGGATGGATGCCGGGTGGAAAGGACATCGAAGCATCGGAAGAAAACGCCAAGCCTTCTGTGCATCGATGGACCGTTGGTCTGGTGGGTGATGGTGGTGGGGGGTGAGAGGGGGAAGGGTGTGGCTCTCCCATCTGCATCTGGCGTCAAGCTTCAGAAGAGAGGGCACGATGAACAGAAAGGTAAGCAGAGACAAGAGGGATTTGCAGCGATACGCTCCGTGGGATAAGCTTATTCAGGGATATCATGTACCACTGCCGTTGAGGTCTCTGCGAGACTGTCAGCTATTCGTACGGGCGTGGATGATCAACGGGCAGCCGATTTACGCGAGTCCACCCTGTTCAAGCCGTCTCCATATCCCACTTTACGCCATGGGAACTACCGGGAATGAAACTGACGGCTCTGCTGGAATACTACTCAACTATCGCCTGTCACTTGAAGCCCTGCCAGTCTTCACTGTCACTCCCGGCGCAAGCTGAAGCCGACCACCGACACGCCACCGACGCGAGTCCGACGCACCCGAGTCAGGCGTCAGCACCCCTGTACCGCAAGGTTGTGGTTCCGACGGGAAGAACAAGAGAGACACCAAAAAAGGGCTGGACGTATGTGCTAGGGCTGGACTGGACGCCCTAGAGAGAGAATTGTTTTGTTCCCTTTTCGGGTAAGTAGTGTTCACATCCCGGTCCCAGCATCACATCCCGTCGCCCGATGGCGGCTATAGAATTGGTCAATGCAGCTCTGTCGGAGCCGAAAGGGCACCGGTTAGCTCTGGGTGCGCCTGGACGGTACGGATACAGCAACAGTCGACAGTCTTTCAATGCATGGCGGAATTAACGGATTGAAGGTTTTGGAGAGGGAGGCAGCCACACGGGAAGACAGGTCCAGGCTTTTTTGAGTTTCTGCCGATCTGATCACTGCCCATGGTCCCATGATGTCGTTGTGAGGGCATTCGCATTGGGTGAAGACCGTCCCATCCGAATTATTCTCAGCTGGAGCAGCTGAAGCTGTAGGGTTTTTCGAGATGGGGAACGAGCAATTAAAAAAAAACTTGTCTGAAATTTTCATTTTCAATGGGGAGCGTAGTAAAAAGGGGGCGCCCACTTTGCGAGACGCCGAAATGCCGGGCAAAGTCCCATGGTAACACAGAATCTACTCAGTCTAGAAAACGGAGTGGAAATGAAGTGAGAAAATATCACGGGAGAAAACCAACCATGTGACCCACGCAAAGAGTGGTAAATCCGTGGAGCACCGCGCGAAGATCACGGAATGGCGAGTCTCTAGTCTCTACTCTCTATGGATACGCAGTGTGAGTCTGAGACTCTGCAGGGCTGGTTTATTTTTGTGGCTCTGCCGAGCTTAATTGACACTTTGGTACCGGTGAGTCTCATCGTTGCCCTCTTGAACTCAGAGCCTCCGACTGAGCTGGACGGTTGAACCCCTCTGCGAACACATGTCAGTCCATGTCCAGACCACCTTGGCAAACTCGCACAGAGTGAAGCACAGCTGTATCTCACAGAGATACAGATCCCAGAAACGCTCATACATATGCCATCCTTGTCGTTGAGGGACGAAATGATATCATAACGGATGAGACCGAGCTCGCGTTTTACAGGTACACACCACTCCCACCTACCTCTCACACTCTTCTGCATGCTCCGTACACTACGGTCCGCGGTCCACGGAGACAAGACATTTGACAGAAAATAAGGTGTTCTGAGCCAGTGCCAAAGCTAGACTGGATGAGGATTAGCTCCCGCAATGAGTGCTGGGAAACCAAACCGATCGAACCCGCAGCCAGCAGGGAAAATAGCGCGCCTACTGATTCATTCACTCACATTTCCTCTCACTCACCCACACCTTTGTCTCACTAGAGAGGTTCTCTGTGAGCGGCCCTCTCTCTCAACTTGTGACGAGACCCAGCGGCTTCCCTTCCCTTCTGCTATTCCCGGGTCGTCTCCGCTCGTCTTCGGGCCTCGACTCCTGCAAAACACGCGATTCGTCTCCGGCGTCCCGGGATCGAATGGGTCACAGCCCGAATCAGCTACTTGAGAGAGAGTCCTCTCTGGCCCTCTATTTGCTCAGTTCTGGCTTCGAAACAACGCGCGAATATTGTAATGTTACCCTACATCGTTGGCTGCCATTGGACTGCT